TCAGGTCAAGCTTGGAAAGGCATTATTTGTGCCCCCATGTAGGAAATGGAGAGGGCCTTTACCGTTAGTCTGAACAGGCTGCAGGGAGATTGCTTTGAGGTAAGGAAGCTTTTGCTGTTTATAGTCAATATCAATGATTTGGGCAGTGATACAAATATACATTTTTGGGACTATTTTATTTTTTATTTAGATGACAATCTGAACAGAAAGCAATTCTAGAAGGGTTTCTTAGTACATGTATTGCATGAAAGTAAAATGGCCCATGTATAATTAACTTTATTTGTGATCAAATCGAATGTTTCCTGTTAACAATGGGTTAATTATTATGCTATTATTATTATGCTATGATTATGCGCGTAAATCAATAAAACAGGAAATTATTGTTGTATTGTTCTGTGTATGTCCTATATCACAAAGCATTATATTTAGCCTTCTAGATATGAATTTAAAATGCTGATGAAGGTTCTCAGTCATCCAGGTCATAGTCATTCCGTAAAAATTCAAAAAAATATCCACTGGACTTGGTTTTCAAGATTTGAAGACGTTTCGCCACCTCTCCAGGAAGCTTTCTCAATTCAAATGTCTGGATCCGCAGTGAGTTTGAGTCTTATATAGACAAGGCCTTGTATCGCTTGGAAACATGCAATAGAAACCGATGAATGGGTCGTTAGTTCCATCGTTAGCCTGTAATATCTGAACCTGTCTATGATTCTAGGGGTCGGTCGTTAAAGGGGGGATTGTCATTAAGGGGGGAATTGTCTCCTGTAATACCTGAAACCTGTCTATGATTGTTAAGGGTTGGTCGTTAAGGAGGTATTGTTCACCGGCTGGAGCGGGTAAGTCCCTTGTTCCTCTGTGATGGGGTGGGGGGTTTGGTGATATCTGGAAGGGATCATGTCTATGATTGAATTGTATGTTTTTGGAAGCTGGAATCTCAGTCCACCACCTCTGTTTAAAGTTGGTTTTTCTCTCTTAACATAGATGGCTTCCTTCACGCCCCTCTCAAACCTTCACGCCCCTCGAAAATAGGTGGTTTGAGAGGGGCGTGAAGGAAGCCATCTATGTTAAGAGAGAAAAAACAACTTTAAACAGAGGTGGTGGACTGAGATTCCAGCTTCCAAAAACATACAATTCAATCATAGACATGATCCCTTCCAGATATCACCAAACCCCCCACCCCATCACAGAGGAACAAGGGACTTACCCGCTCCAGCCGGTGAACAATACCTCCTTAACGTCCAACCCTTAACAATCATAGACAGGTTTCAGGTATTACAGGAGACAATCCCCCCCTTAATGACAACCCCCCCTTTAACGACCGACCCCTAGAATCATAGACAGTTTCAGATATTACAGGCTAACGATGGAACTAACGACCCATTCATCGGTTTCTATTGCATGTTTCCAAGCGATACAAGGCGTTGTCTATATAAGACTCAAACTCACTGCGGATCCAGACATTTGAATTGAGAAAGCTTCCTGGAGAGGTGGCGAAACGTCTTCAAATCTTGAAAACCAAGTCCATTGGATATTTTTTGAATTTTTACGGAATTTAAAATGCTAATTAATGGCTAAACCCTCACGACAGTTGATGTATACATTTTTGCATGAAAATAATTCCTTGACTAAAAATTACTTTTCCATCACAGCACCGAGTTCTGGTAAGGATTGTGTTTTAAAAAAAAAAAGAAAAACTTTGTGTGAAATTCCTCTGCAAAATGTTTGTGTCATGATCTTGGCTATTCCAGTCTCTATTTAACCTGCCTGTTTCTATTCATCTGTACCAGATTATTCTCAAGCCAGTGGTGAGAATGTCCCAGCATTACCTTAGTGTTTCTGATTACCTGATCCTGACCTGTTCTGCTTCTCAACCGCTTAGCCTGCCTGTTCCTGTTTGATCTGTTTGCCTGACCTGCCTTCTGCCTGTTTGCTGAACTTGGACTTGCTTACTGACATATACGTGGATTTCCCTTTGGAACCTCTTCTGATTTCCTGGTTCTGAATCCTGAGCATGTCCATGGCACCGGCTTTGGTTTCGCCCTCCGGATCATCCTGCCTTCTTTTATCTGCTCGGATCTGATCTGCTGCTTTTTTTCCATCCTCTCGGGCTGCAGCGACTGGAACTCTCTGGACGGCGCCCTCTGCATCTTGTTGACAGCTGCCCGGCTGGAACCAAACTCGTTCTTTTGGCATGGACTAAACTATAATACCAGGTTAGTGACTCAACACATTCATAATCATCCTCCGTCAAATTAATGTGGTCACTAGCCTGTGTTTTCCTTCTGCAGAGGTTCCAGCCTTAGACGTCCTTACTGTTATTGCAGAGCCGCCATTTTTAAATAAACGCTTTTTGAATTATCTGACTGTCTGTTTGCCTTGAATACTGGCTCCCGTGTTCTGAGCCCTCACAGTTTGAGCTTTTGCATGCAGATACTTATAATATTAAACAAACAGAAGAAGTAAATGGTTTAATTTGGGAAACACCCTAACCATCTTTCAGTTAACTGTATCTTTATACTCTCTCTCTCTATGTAACTTATCAAACGTCAGCTGCTTAAAGTTTCTGATATTATTCAGGAATCGATACTTTAGAAGAAAATGCTAGTGATTTTTAATAAGTGAAAAAATTATTAAGTCTTAAGCTGACATGCAACTCTCCCTGTTTTTTTTTTTTTAAGAAATGCCAGCAAACACTCAATACTTTCAGGAACACTAATATGTGAAATGTTTTTCATAATTTAGCACAAAGCAAAACGGTGATTCTACAAAATTGGAAAAACCTGTTTAAGAAAGTGACAGCAGCTGCGTGGGGTGGAAGAGGGAGAAGGCAAGATAGGCTTTTGAGATTTAGAAATGCCTCAAACAGAGCAGCATATTGTGATAAACAGTTGCTACTTAAATTAATTAACTGCTTTAACTATTTGGTATCTAGTGGGGTGTTGGTTCTAAACCTAATTCAGGAGGGGTCTAGAGTTGGGCCAGCATTTTTGTAGTTTTTTTATTTTTATGCAGGCACAGAAACAAAAAGGGCACAGAATGAAATACTGGTCCATAGTTTACCATTTGATATATTAAGTGTTCTGTTGCTCAAAACAGACACTTATGGCTCTGAACTGAAAGAAGTAAACGAAAAATTTACCATGACATATAAAGTTTTGATTTGTTTTAACTGATTTTTTTTTATTAAAAATGTAAATATCTACTTAAAGTCAAAGCATTGCATGGTTACATGATCTCACATACATTTGTTGGTAAATGTTTCTTCTTGAGCTGACCACTTGATAATTAGTGTTTAAAGTAGGGTGACCGATTCAAACACTACCATTCATCCTGTCTGCTGAACTGCTGCTAGTTTTTCTCACATTCCTGGAAGATGTCTAGTGCTTCTTAAAATCATAGCCATAGAAATCAGTGGTCAGACTGCAACACACGTTTCAGCGCTGCACATTGCTAGGAAAAAAAAGTGTCTCGGACCATGGACCACAAAGGAAAAAAAAGGAAGATACCTGATGAGAACAGAGGATTCAAAGAAGAATGGACCAAATTATTTACTGTCATTATCAATGCAGAAGGATTGCCTGCATTTTTGCATTGTGATGAGAGGTTGTCAAAGAATAAAGACAGTAATTGATCCACAGATCAAACAGGTAGTGCTCTTATGCAGAGATGGGAAGTTTCTTCCATTATTTCCCACAAATCCTCAAAATAAAAGTAACACCAAGGAACGCTGATGTGGGAGGATGTGGGATTTCAGGGTTAGAGAGCACAGCTCTGATGGATGTCAGTTCCTGCTTGGTCCGTCATGACTCAATCAACTCCTCCTAACAGAAAAATATCCACCATAGAAAGATTCCTTTATTGTGTTTCTTTAATTTCATCAATGCAACAAAACCTTAACCGTTCAGTGAAGCAGCGTGTGGTGAACTCCACACGGTGAGAGCGTTCACTGCCCCTCCCTCACCTCATGACTCTGTGACATGTGCTCCAGGATAAACATTATTATATATTTAAGCCCATGTAGTCCTTTTTTATAGTTGGCCAATACACTTACAGCCCCTGTTGCCATACGAGGCTTTTACATTTTTGTGGCTCCAGACAGATTAGTTTTTTTTGTCCAATATGGCTCTTTGAGCAGTTTGGGTTACCGACACCTGGTCTATGACTATTGACAGAAGTTGACAAAATCCTTTTATTGTTTGCTTTTTGTTCTTCATCTCAAGACTAATTTGAAACGGTTTCCCCAACCTTCGCCAATGTGGAATCCACTATCCTGCATATCTTAGATATGATTTTATTGTGCAGGCCTTCTTCAAATGATTACATTAACCTCAATCATCTAACTCATCTTTTAAGCATTCCATTAAGTTCAGCCAAAGACTGTAAACAATCTAAATGATCTCTGCTTGGTCTAAATCAAGCAGGGAAGTGTACATTTACTGTAATACAAGGTTGAGAAACCACTAGATTGACTTTTTGGGTTCATCAAGACATACTTTACTGCAACTAAACCAGCATGACCAGCCGAAAATAAAAAGCATGTTTCATTCAACTTATGGTGGATACCTTGTTTTCCTCTGGCTTTGACTATTACTCACATAACGATACATAGATTTCAAGCATTCAGTCCCTAGATGAAATTGTTAGACTTGAATTAAGTTTATTAAAAACTCTTAGACATAAAGTAGGAGATGTCCAACTTAATTCTTATGCTTTTAGATTTAAAACACAAATCTAATGGCTGAATTACCCCCTTAGCATGTTATCAAGATCCCGAGAGGCCTGCTAATTACCTATTCATTTGAGTCAAGTATATTGAGCAGCTGAAACCAGCCCTTGCAGACTGACAATAGATGCTACTTTTTTAAGCCAATTAGGTTCTTAATTAGAAATCTGATAACTTTATGCTTAAACCTTAATAACCTACATGCTAAATGTTTATTGTGTGTCACACAATATAATTTTTAACAGTTTTTAAACAATTTAGTGTGAGAGAGACTTACCTGTAGAATTTTACACCGATCCGACTCACATTCATCTTCGCAGGGATGATACATGCCCAGGGTCACACAGTTCAGCAGGATCACCAACATGGACACTCGCTCGAACCATGTGGAAGGTAGGAGTTAAGGCAGCTAACACAGCAGATTGGCAACAGCAACCAGCAGTGACAACAAGCAGCAAACAAAGGATGCATTTCCTCCTGTGACCTCATTATCCTTGCATCACCTGACAAACAAATGCTTATCTCTTTAACTACATTTTACAATCAAAAACTGTTTTAAAGAGCAAAAGGAGCCCCCACCCTCCCAGATGGAGTCAAAAGATGTAGGAAAACCCACCTGTGGCTGACATTGGTCCCGTTCCGCACCGTCAGCACAGCATTTGTTAGGAAGGCGTGCTGGTAAATGTTCAAATTATTGTTGGGGGAACTGAGTAAGCAGTTTAAAACTGTGTGAGGTACAACAAAAGACAACATACAGCAGGTACAGTCTAAGAAACTGGGACAGAGTGAATGGGAGAATTAAGTTAGATGGGGATGATTTGTGCGGTCAATGTGGATCGGCACATTATAATTAGAGCAACACCAACAAATAATGTGACTGTCCAAAAGTGTGGCTAATGCCACACACACATAGCCACATGTCGTGAGCTGCATGCCTTAACCCAAACATTTATCCAATATATTATAGATTGCTGCTGAAGCTGCAGTCAGCACCCAGCCTGGATAACAAAGTTAGACAGGGAATACAGTTTGTCATCCTTGCATGTGTGTTTAACTGTGTGATGTGTGACCAAAAAAAAGCATTCTGCTCAGGAAGGTAAATGTTAGCACATTGGCTATGAGGAAAAACGATCTGCCAGTCCTTTACAGCATTAGCCACCACATGATCATTTGTCTCTCTAACCCACACGATAGCTGGGTCAGCTGGCCTTTCTTTGAATCTCCATTTTGGTGAAAGTCTAAATAAACCTACAGGCTCTACTGTACTGAGTTTATGAGGTAGAAAGAGTTATTTATTTATTTATATATATATACACTATATTGCCAAAAGTATTTGCTCACCCATCCAAATTATTGGAATCAGGTGTTCCAATCACTTCCATGGCCACAGGTGTATAAATTCAAGCACCTAGGCATGCAGACTGTTTTTACAAACATTTGTGAAAGAATGGGTCGCTCTCAGGAGCTCAGTGAATTCCAGCGTGGAACTGTGATAGGATGCCACCTGTGCAACAAATCCAGTCGTGAAATTTCCTCGCTCCTAAATATTCCACAGTCAACTGTCAGCTGTATTATAAGAAAATGGAAGTGTTTGGGAACGACAGCAACTCAGCCACGAAGTGGTAGGCCACGTAAACTGACGGAGCGGGGTCAGCGGATGCTGACGCGCATAGTGCGAAGAGGTCGCCAACTTTCTGCAGAGTCAATCACTACAGACCTCCAAACTTCATGTGGCCTTCAGATTAGCTCAAGAACAGTGCGCAGAGAGCTTCATGGAATGGGTTTCCATGGTCGAGCAGCTGCATCCAAGCCATACATCACCAAGTGCAATGCAAAGCGTCGGATGCGGTGGTGTAAAGCACGCCGCCACTGGACTCTAGAGCAGTGGAGACGCGTTCTCTGGAGTGACGAATCGCGCTTCTCCATCTGGCAATCTGATGGACGGGTCTGGGTTTGGCGGTTGCCAGGAGAACGGTACTTGTCTGACTGCATTGTGCCAAGTGTAAAGTTTGGTGGAGGGGGGATTATGGTGTGAGGTTGTTTTTCAGGAGCTGGGCTTGGCCCCTTAGTTCCAGTGAAAGGAACTCTGAATGCTTCAGCATACCAAGACATTTTGGACAATTCCATGCTCCCAACTTTGTGGGAACAGTTTGGAGCTGGCCCCTTCCTCTTCCAACATGACTGTGCACCAGTGCACAAAGCAAGGTCCATAAAGACATGGATGACAGAGTCTGGTGTGGATGAACTTGACTGGCCTGCACAGAGTCCTGACCTCAACCCGATAGAACACCTTTGGGATGAATTAGAGCGGAGACTGAGAGCCAGGCCTTCTCGTCCAACATCAGTGTGCGACCTCACAAATGCGCTTCTGGAAGAATGGTCAAAAATTCCCATAAACACACTCCTAAACCTTGTGGACAGCCTTCCCAGAAGAGTTGAAGCTGTTCTAGCTGCAAAGGGTGGACCGACGTCATATTGAACCCTATGGATTAGGAACGGGATGTCACTTAAGCTCATATGTGAGTCAAGGCAGGTGAGCAAATACTTTTGGCAATATAGTGTATATATATAGTCATATAATAATTGAAAAAGATATTCCAAGAGAAATGGAGAAAACATCACTCTCTTGGATAAAAGCACTATTGTATTGGCAACATAATGGTAATACATTGATACATAACTTTTAAAAAGCCTATAACATTTTTCAAAGTATCTAAACTGATTTGATGTTATCTACATCAATTCTTAAATATCTATATGTATCAAACATTAAATTAAACTTTTTTTTAAAAGGTTTGGGCAACTCTTCCCATTTAGCTATAAGCATGTTTGACATTTCAATGTATGATAGGTCAATTATACAACTAATTGCTCTTGGGAATGGTATGTACATGAATGGTTGCTAGTCTTAATCATGTCATATGATGAAGACATGTTCTGTACATCTCTTGCCCCAACTTGTGCAGATAAGTATCTATCCCACTACAACCAGCAAACCCAGCAAAGAATATGTTTTTATAATGATGATATAAGGGCGAGCCAGTTTCTACCTGTTACTTAGAGGTAAATTGACAAAGTTTAAGGGAAATGAATGAAGCACAACTTATGGGTTTTGCTTTGTTCTTTTGTTCTTCCCAGAGATTGAAAGGAAGGTCTTATAGAGAAAGAAATTGATGGATTTAGAATTGAAATGTAAAGGGAGCAAAAATGTTCATCAACTGACAAGTAACTAACTACTCTACTTACTATTCCACACACGTCAACTAGAGTTAGTTATCAATGGAATACATTTATGGACCGAACACACTACGTGAGCAACAGTGATGATGAGATCAATATAACCTTTTTTTTTCCTTTAAACCTAAAGCTATTCTTTTGAGACTTCAGTTTAACTATTATTAAAATTATTCATTGCCCCTTGCATTTTAACATGTTTTACCACATCACTACCTGGGATCATAATATTTTTTTTTAACTTTTAAACCATTTCATTTAACGATCATAGCTAGAACATCAACCATTTATTATTACTGGTTGCTGATAGTCAAACAATAAAAAAAAAACAGGAAAACATAACACAAAACTCGAGTAAACCTAAAAACCAGGGATGGGATATGTGGAGTCACCAGCTCATCTCTATGTCATCTATTGATTTTGTCCATCCAGTCAACCAGGTGAGTCCAATTTGCACAATTTAAATCAGAGTGCAGTTTGGATTCACCTTGCTCAGTGGCTGGGGAGAACAAATATAACATAGAAATAACCTGTTGACACCACATGTCCCACCTCTGCTAAAAACGGATGCCCATAGATATGTTAAAGCAAAACAACCTTAAAAAATATCCAAGACATCAGCCCCATGAAAACTGAGTTTGGACACCCCTCAATTAGACTAACATGCCAAGCACATACAGAACTAGTTTAAGTACTTCAGTTTAACTAAAACTGAGTCTGCTTCATGCAATCAGATCTTGTTACAGCAATACAAGCTACATATAAGCTACTTAGGGATAAGTTGTCATTCTGTTCAAACTGTAAACTGAGTTTATTGGTAAAAAAAAAAAAGATCTAATACCAGAAAAGCACCAACAAATATAAGATGATGTAGCAAAAAAATAAATATGAACAACCTGACTAATTTAATCAACATCTTCCTCTCTTGTCCTCATTTTCCTTCTCTTCCTTTTAAACTGCTGGTCTATAATTAAACAAAAGGATGGGGTGTTTCCAAGTGTGTTCTGTCTCAATATTAACACACACAAGCACACCTTTACGGTGTCAGCATGCCGACAAGCGGTAGCACCCCGAGGGATGGATTCAATTAGAGGGAAGATACACAGGGATATGCCCTGTCAAAATCAGAAAGCAAGATGGCTACACGCTCTGCTCCACAGACACACACTTTGGGAAACAACAAAATCAAACTAATCAGTACTTCAAAACACACCCTGTGTTCTGCTCTCTGGGGTTCTCCTCAACTCTGCTCTCTCTCATAGTTTTGCTTAGTTATGGTAATGCTTATGCAAATAAAGCACATACACAGAATTAAAACACTTTTTGTTTGATCCAGTGGAAACCAATGGTGTGTGTACATGCTGGCCATCTGATTTTGGTTTTGAAACTGGAAATAAATTGTTTCCTTATTTCCATATAAAATATTCAAAAAATATACAGTATATACTGTATAAAAAAATAAAAGAAGGATGTTTCTGTTTTGAAACCCCTAAATCGGGAGTCAAAAATGTTTACCTGTTATCTGTTTTTCTTTAATTCCAAAACAAAAAATAAAATATAAATCTAAATGTTCTGTCCCGATTCATCTCCTCTCCATGGTACAATACTAAAACATATCCATCAGTCACATCCATGGACACTGCCAATAAATCTCTCTCATTATTTTTGTTACTGTACATAAGACATTTCACCCGCCTTAAAATCAAAAGTCATAAATGTCAAGGACTCCCACACACCAGCTCACTTGTAAACAGTGCCATTACTAACAGGAAGTAACGCATGTGCCCCAAGCTTTTTATTTTAATACAATCTATGTGTGTATTGACCATGAAATTCATCAGAATGGGAATCGTAACTATAAATATAATAGTTCTGACAAAAATTTAGATCTTAATATTCACAAATCATGACAGAAAGACTACTTTAGTACAAAGATTGATGTTGAAGAAGGAATTGTAGGGGAATAGCCAAGGACCAGCCAAGGACCGATCAAGGAAAGTGGGGGAACTTTTGAATGGCTACTACTGTACTCGTATCAATCTGAAAAAGCCTCCTGTTGAAAAGGTTTCCAAAAGGGAGGGATATTCAGTGCAATGCTTCGAGCTGTTAGGATAGATCACAGAGTGGCACATGCCTCCCTGTCAAGCTTTTA